TGCAGTGGTACACAGTGGTAGGATGCTGCAGTGGTACACAGTGGTAGTGTGGGGATAAAGAAAGAGGGAAAGTGGCAATCCTCCTATCCAAGAGCTCATGCCATCAGATGGCTGCCTTTGGAGAATTTTTTGCACTGATACTAGCTAGCCTGAAATCAGGTGGGACTTAGGGCCAGTAGGACTCTGGCTGGCTTTGCATACTGTCTGGAGAAGGCACCTGATGGCAGCTAAAGATCCAGGTAGCCTAGATTCATTGTAACTCCTTAAGTGGAAGTACTCTAAGTGTTGCCTCCAGCATTGCTTCACCTGGTCCCCAAGGGCTCTGGTTCCCGAGTGTCCAGCCACTCCTGGACCTCTGGACCCTGGTGGACTTGCCTAGCCACACTGGAGCAGAATAGCCATCAGGTCAAAGATCAGGCTTCCTGTCCACAGGTTGCTGTGTGTCCTTGTCCACCCTCCATTCTAAAGTTCTCTCTCTCCCTTGACCCTCAGCTCTGGATGTGACCCATCTCTGTCTCCAAGCTTCCCCTGTTGTGGCCCAGAAGCCTATGCCAAACAAGGGCTTCAAAACAAAGTCCTTATTCTGAGCTGAAGGGGGGGAGAAGAGTAAACAAGTCGAGCAGCCGGCTCCACACAGCCGGGTGGGGGGTGTTTTCCCCCCTCTTAGCCCATGTGGAATGTCAGAAAGGCTGGACTCAAAGTGGGAAGGACAAGAGGCCAGTGTGGTGGGGACTAATTCACACAGTCACTACCTGGTGGAGGATTAGCAGCCCAGCCAGCCGCCTAGCCACACGGTGTGACATTGTGCAAAGCACCACATGCAATCAGCATTCGTGTGGGCTCCAGCTGGCATGTGCTAATTTCGAAGAATTAGAGTAAAGCCTTCCATGACTCCACAGAAGTCAGAGGGAGATTACAGACTGGCAAGGTTTGCTGACACCACACAGGAGGACTTTTTTTTTTCTGGTCACAAGGGCGTCTGCTACCCTTGTGTATGTTAGTGTCTCCCAGGGGAGAAGATAGGTATAATTAGCCTTGACCATGGATCCAAGATGAGACCTCTTCAAGTTAGCCAGCACATCCTAACCCCAGTGGGAGAAAGGCAAAAAGTCAGCCTCATGGTGTAAGCCTGTGCTTCATCTGGGTAACCGGATGATGTTCCGTTCCAGGATCCCACTTGAGAAAGCTTGAAGCCCTTCTCTGCCACCTCTCCTCCCTGTGGCTGTCGCCTCTCTGCCATGGCCTCACTTTGAAAATGGTAGTGAGCACATAGCCCCCTTTAGAGGTCTGTGACCTATCTCTTCCCATGCTACCAGCCCTGTGACCTTGGACAAGTTGCTTAACCTCTCTGTGCCTTAGATTATTGTGTACCAGGTGGTAAGCTGAGGGATGTCCAGAGCCTGACAGACAGTAGGTGTTGGGTGTCTGTGTGTTCTTATCCACATCGAGTGCTTTGTGTAGTCGAAGGTATAAGTCCTCATGTTACAGCCTCTGGAGGAGATGGAGGAATCTGTCCTTGCTTCCTCCATGTTCAGAACTCTTTCTTTCTCTGGCTCTTTCAGGAATGTGAGACTTATGAGAAGTGCTGCCCCAATGTGTGTGGAACCAAGAGCTGCGTGGCAGCCCGCTACATGGATGTGAAAGGAAAGAAGGGTCCTGTGGGCATGCCCAAGGAGGCCACATGTGACCATTTCATGTGTCTGCAGCAGGGCTCTGAGTGTGACATCTGGGATGGCCAGCCCGTGTGTAAGTGTAAAGATCGCTGTGAGAAGGAGCCCAGCTTCACTTGTGCCTCTGACGGTCTCACCTACTACAATCGCTGCTACATGGATGCCGAGGCTTGCTCCAAGGGTGTCACGCTGTCCGTGGTCACCTGCCGTTATCACTTCACCTGGCCCAATACCAGCCCCCCACCGCCTGAGACCACACTACATCCCACCACAGCCTCCCCGGAGACTCTCGGGCTGGACATGGCAGCCCCAGCCCTGCTCAACCACCCTGTCCATCAGTCAGTCACCGTGGGTGAGACGGTGAGTTTCCTCTGTGATGTGGTAGGCCGGCCTCGGCCAGAGCTCACTTGGGAGAAACAGCTGGAGGACCGAGAGAATGTGGTCATGAGGCCCAACCACGTGCGTGGTAATGTGGTGGTCACCAACATTGCCCAGCTGGTCATCTATAATGCCCAACCCCAGGATGCTGGTATATACACCTGTACAGCTCGGAATGTCGCTGGGGTCCTGAGGGCTGACTTCCCGTTGTCAGTGGTCAGGGGCGGTCAGGCCAGGGCCACCTCAGAGAGCAGTCTCAACGGCACAGCCTTCCCAGCAACTGAGTGCCTGAAGCCCCCAGACAGTGAGGACTGTGGAGAGGAGCAGACGCGCTGGCACTTCGACGCCCAGGCTAACAATTGCCTCACCTTCACCTTTGGCCACTGCCACCGTAATCTCAACCACTTTGAGACCTATGAGGCCTGCATGCTGGCTTGTATGAGTGGGCCGTTGGCCACCTGCAGCCTGCCCACCCTGCAGGGCCCCTGCAAAGCCTATGTGCCACGCTGGGCCTACAACAGCCAGACAGGCCTATGCCAGTCCTTCGTCTATGGCGGCTGTGAGGGCAACGGGAACAACTTTGAAAGTCGTGAGGCCTGTGAGGAGTCGTGTCCCTTCCCAAGGGGCAACCAGCATTGCCGGGCCTGCAAGCCACGGCAAAAGCTTGTCACCAGCTTCTGTCGGAGTGACTTTGTCATCCTGGGCAGGGTCTCTGAGCTGACTGAGGAGCCTGACTCAGGCCGTGCCCTGGTGACCGTGGATGAGGTCCTGAAAGACGAGAAGATGGGCCTCAAGTTTCTGGGCCGGGAGCCGCTGGAAGTCACTCTGCTTCATGTAGACTGGACCTGTCCTTGCCCCAACGTGACAGTGAGCGAGACACCGCTCATCATCATGGGGGAGGTGGAGGGTGGTATGGCCATGCTGAGACCCGATAGCTTTGTGGGTGCATCGAGCACGCGGCGGGTCAGGAAGCTCCGTGAGGTCATGTACAAGAAAACCTGTGACGTCCTCAAGGACTTCCTGGGCTTGCAATGAAGCTAGCCCAGCTACCCTGACCCTCCTCCGCCCACCCACCCCTGCCCTCAGTCACCCATCCAGGTGAGATCAGGTTAGATAGCCATGGCTCGGGAAGAAACATCAGCTAGCACGTGGGAAGAAAGCCACCAATGTCCTAAAGCCACCGAAGTTTTAGCGCCACCTATATGTTCTCTCTGCCTCTCCATGTCCTCACTTTGAAAATGGTAGTGAGCACATAGCCCCCTTTAGAGGTCTGTGGCCCACCTCTTCCCATACTACCAGCCCTGTGACCTTGGGCAAGTTGCTTAACCTCTCTGTGCCTTAGATTATTGTGTACAAAGTGAGAATAGTGGTTGTACCCCCAGGCTTAGAAGAGAATGGTAAGCTAAAGGAGGTCCAGGAGGCCTGACAGGATCTTTGGATTCAATAAAACGTCTGTATCTTCCCCCCTCACTGTACCCGCTAACCCCACCGAGACAAGGTTTCTCTGTGTAGCCCTGGCTGTCCTGGAATTCACTCAATAGACCAGGTTGGCCTCAAACTCAGAGAGCCGCCTGCCTCTGCCTCCCGAGTCCTGGGATTAAAAGTGTGCACCACTATGTCTGGCAAAAGGTCCGTATCTTTTTTTTAGCTGAGAAGGGTTGGCAAAGGGAAGAAAGGGTACAGGTAAGTTGTTTCCTGTGGGTAGTTCCCCTGGGCAGCCTCACCCCTCTCTGCTGACCCATGCCCCTCTGCCCAGTCTCCTAGCCTGGGTTCAGGAGGAGCTGTCATCTGTATTGTCAAATGGTTTAGCTTGTATAGGAGGGTACATGGTGAGAGATAAGAGGATCACTTAAGACAACTGCCCCCCTGCCTCCTGCCCCACTATATCACTGTAGTCAGAGACCACCCACATCAAAGACTGTGAGCAGAGGGAAATCAGAGCATTCAAGCTAGGCTCTAACTTATCCTAATGGAGGCTGCAGAGATGGCTGCCTTTGGTGGGGTCGGTTTGTGTCACCACACCAGGAGAACCCATGTTTTCTCTCCTTAGCTGCATTGGTTTGTTGGTTTGCTTCTGTTCATTTCAGCTCAGTGGACACTTCCTGGGTGCCAGGTGCTAAGACCATAGAGAGCTAATACTGCTCTACAGGCCAAGTCAGAAGGTAGTCCCGATTCTCGGCTCTGCCAGGAGCCAGTGAGTGATTGTCAGCAGTCAGGCATTTCCATCTGGTAGGCCAGGTACTTTCATGTGCCATGGACTTCCTAGGAGAAGCTCAAAGATCTGTTTTTGGCAGCAAGAGAAATAAAGAAGACAAAGGCAGGAGGAACAGGGGACAGCCTAGGCATCAGAGCGGAGGTGGGCCCAGGGAGAATGCATATTGCACAATGCTGCCATCTGGTGGTGCATATGGACACTTGCAGGGATCAGGAGAAAAGCTCTGGGAGGGGCCTGGGAGGGGCCTCTTGGCGATGGCAGCTATGAGATCACTTGTTTCTTCTGGTCCCAGCCACATAGGCACTGGGGTAGAGGATTTGGAACCCCTCTGTCACCTCTGCATCTGCCCTGTTCCCTCCTCAGCCCTTCATTCTGCCCACACCCCTCAAAAGGATGCCCTAATGTCTTCCTCAAATATACAGAGGACAATACTAAATAAAATTTCATAGTGTCAACTGCTCTACATGTGTAGCTCTTTTGGGAAGGTGAGGAAGAGGCTGTGATCACGTCATTGACTCTGGTACCTCTTAGAAGGGAAGTCTGGCCGATGGCACCGTATTTGGGCAGTGGAGAGATGCAGTAGGTTTTCAGGTCCCCTGTGAAATATGAGGCTCCTTAACCACACTCTGAAGAGTTTGTGAAATAACCAGGAGAAAACCTGGTTACTTTTCCACACTTGTCGGAAGGGCTAGGGCCCTGGCGTGTGGTCTAACTGCTCTACGGGGGACAATGGGGATCAGGGGCACAGACAAGTTCCTCCTGCCTCTGATACTGTGGAGTCTAAGTGTGAAGGTGGGAAGGGCAAGAGCAGAGCAGGCAGATACTCAGCTGTGACTTCTAGGGACACCAGGAAGAGGCCTGCTCTCCAGCATCCTCAGGGTGCCCGAGTTCTGACAACTCTGGCAGTAGTGCATTTGGCCCCAGGGAGATTTACTGCTGTTCCCCAGACCCAGTCAAGAGTGAGGAACCTATAGCCTGTCTGACCCTCAGCAGAGGCACCCCTCTCTTGCAGTTCCATGGGGTTCTCTGGGCCATACCTAAAGGGGCAATCCAAGCCAGACCCAGCCTAGCTTAGAGCATCGTCTTTCACCTATAGTAAAGGCTTGAGAAGGGGGCGAGGAGCTTTGATTTCTAAGAGATGAGGGGGCAGGTAGTGGGAAAGCCACACCATCACTGACGGACACTGAGTAAAGGACTTAGCCATCGGGATGACACGAGTGATGGTCACTTCCTAACCTAGTCAGGCATCCAGGGAGGGTGAGGTTTGTCACCTCACTCTGTCCACAGAGGCCTGGAGACGTTGCCTGAACCTGCTTCTAGACCACAATGTCCAACAAATACTCTCAGAGCCCAAGGACAAGTGCCTCACCTGCCACTTCAGTTCACTTATACAAAGAAGAGTCTAAACCCCACAGTTAGGTCCAGTTTGCTGTTCTGCTCCCCTGGTAGAGAGGGAAATTACGGGGAGGTTGACATCATAGAAATTACCCAGCCCATGAGACCAGGGAACACCAAGATCTGGATCTGCCTGTCTCTACTCTTCCTCCTTCTACAGGCATGCAGTTATGCCTAGCTGTTTTTAATATGACTGCTGGAGATTTGAACTCAGGTCCTTGTGATTGTAAGCACTCTTACCTGCTGATTCGTCTCCCTAGTTCCACTCACCAAGATCTGAATCCAACCTCCATCCCTATCTGAACCTCTTCATGCCTAACCGTACAGAGTACTAAGAACACTTACTTATGTCATGTTGCTGGTTTGCTGGTGTGTGTGTGTACAGGCACACTCACGTGTGTGCTCATGTGTGTGAATACAGGGACACTCATGCTACAGTGCATGTGTGGCTGTCAGAGGACAGCCTCAGGCATCTGCCCTCCCCTTCCACCTGGGACTTGTATACACCACACAGCTGGCCTGGAAGCTTCCAGAGACTCTCCATCTCCTAGCTCATCACAGGGACACTGGGATTGCAGATACTCGCTACCTTGCGCCTGGCTTTATGTGAGTTCTAGACACTCACACTGAGGTCCTTGTGCTTAGAGGCAAGTGCTCACCACCAAGCTGCCTCCTCAGCCCTGGATTTGTTGTTTCGTTCCACACAGAGTCTCTCAGTGTAGCACAAACTCACCTTGGCCTCACTCTGCAGTCCAGATCGGTCTCAAACTCAGGATTCTTCTATTTCACTCTCTCAGGGGCTGAGATTACAGGTTTGCTCCACTATAGTGTCTCGGTAGTCATAGCACTTAGAGAGGTTTGGGATTTAACCCATCACCCTTGTAAGAACTACAGCCTGGCCTAGAGTGGTCCATTTACCCTCTGAAGCGCCCCAGGCAGGGCTGGGCCCCAGGACCAAACACTATACCTCATTGTTCTGGGATTTGGGCCTTGGCAGGCTCCCGATTATCAGAGAACATCTGAAATGAGCCCCTTTTGTGGGCTGATTTTGGGCTCAGAAGCTTTGGGGCTCACGAGAAGATGAGTACAATAGAAGCTATGGCCATCTCTGACCTGCTGTGTGAGGTTGATTTCTCTCTGGAAATAACACCTTGTCTTTTCAGCCTCGTTCTCCTGAGCCTTCATGCAATGGCCAACACCAAGCAGGCTACCAGGCTGGGCTAATCTGAGTTTCCAAAGCAGGGTTCCCAGCCTGTGGCAGTCACCTGGCTCAGTCTGCTAGACATGCCCTCAATCCTGCTCCGGGACGCAAGGAACCCTAGGCCACCTGCTGCAAGGCCAGTCTCATGCTTCCCTGCTTGCGGTAGAGCTCGCCCCTTGCTGTCTCAAGGCCGTATGGCTCTTCCTACCACTAGCCTGCTGCCCAGGCCTTTTCTTTTCTTCTAATCTATTCAGGCTTGGCTGACACTAGACCAGAACTGTCCCCACCACCCCAAAGCAAGGCACTGTGGCTTTGTTTACCACCATCACCCCCGCCCCCCCCGCCCCGCCTCCTCGGACACTCTGCTCTATTGTCTAGCCAGCTGCTCACTAGTCTGATGTCACCTTCTGGACAGCGGCACCAGAAAGCCACCCAAGCACTAGGACAAAACCTAACTAGGGAAGGGGACAGTAGTAACCCGTAGCCCTGTGGTTGTTTCTTGCAGCTGTGATCTCCAACTGCTCCGTTATGATAAATCACACCAACAGTTTACTGTGTGGCGGCACCAAGCGCCTTCTCCTGTGGTCCACACCAAGATCCCATGAGGCACAGTGACATTTTCTAGGTGAGGAAAAATAAAGCAAGAAAGTTTACTTAGCCATGGCCAAAGCACAGGGCTACAGTTGCAGCACTTGGGAGCCAGTGGCAGGAGGATTTCAAGTACAAGGCCAGGCTAGGCAAAGAAAACACCATCTCAAAAACAAAGTTGAAACAAAAGAAAAGAGTTTGGGGCTATGTCTCAGTTCAAGTATGAAGACCTGAGTTCGGATCCCCAGAACCCATGTAAAAAGCTGGGTATGACCTATAATCCCTGTGCAGAGGAGGTGAATTCAGGAGACTGGGGCCTTGCCCAGCCAGCCAGCCTAGCTGAATATGTGAGCTCCGGGTTCAGGGAGAAAACCTGTTCCAAAAATACAGGTGGAAAGAGATGGTTCAGTGAGTAAAGGGACTTGCTGCCAAGCCTGATGACCCAAGTTCAATCCTTAGGTACCACACAGTAGAAAAAACAAAACCTATCCCCACAAGTTGTGCACAGATACATACATAACACACACACACACACACACACACACACACACACACACACACACACACGAAACTTCCAGGATCATACAGCTGCTAAATGGTAAACCCAAGGGTTATGTACTGCTATAGAGAACTTTGAATGCTTATGTTATGCTGTTTCTACTAGTATATAAAACACACACACACACAAGCTCCCGTGCCTGCACTGGCAGTGTCTAGCTCCAGCTGGCCAGCCTCCGGTGCATCACCCAAGGTCTGTTTACATCCTGGACACGTGACAAGCTTCCAGCACACACAACTGGAGTCATGGCCTAGATTCCTGAGCCCAACATCAGCCTTGTGCCTCCTCATCCTTCAGGAGGCAGCTCCTGGGGGAAGCCTCTGCTGTCCCTAGGCAGCCTCCGCCTCTTCAAGTCTGGCATGCCTCTAGGCTGGTGCTGACCCAAATCAGAGTAATGGCCAGGGGCTCCAGGAACACTGGGGCCCAGCTCAGAGCTCACAAGGGGGACTGGCTGGATGAATGCAGGATCTGGGAGGAGGGCCATGAGGAGCCACTGCATATTTTGACTACCATGTGCCAAGAATGGTCCCTCTGGGGTCAGTCTTCTCCTCAGCCCCACTCCTGTAGCTCCTCTTCCTCTTCTCATCCCACCTTCCCAAGGAGCTAGGGTGTCTCCTCCTCTCTAGAGAATGTGTGAGTAATTCAGGCGGGTAGTGGCAGGGCTCCTGGGTCCTATTCTTGGCTGTGCCCTCATTCTGGAATGTGCCCTGAGGTCAACTGACACTGCTCTCTCAGGCTGTCAGGAGGAAGGAAGAATAAGGTTCCAGGGGTACCTCCCAAGGAAGAGTGTGGGCAGGCAGGTGGCCATGCTGTCCCGACCTCTCCTCCCCTGCCCTCCATCTTAGACTCTCAAGCCCCTCAACCTTTCTGCTTCAAGGTCAGGTTGGAGTCTCTCTTCATATCCGAAGCTGACCAAGGATAGAGAACCCTGACATCCAGATGTCTAACAGTAATGGACGCCTTTAAGCTCATTCACATAAAGGGAATATGAGACTCTGTCTTGGTGTGTACCAGCCCAGACTAGCCCAGAGGTGGGAGCTTTTCCCTGCACATCACTGGCAAGGTGCCGGGAATCCCAACATACTGGTGTTACTGCTCCTTCTGAGTCTTGAGGAAACTTCAGAGCTCCGGCAGGATGAAGTTTTTGCCATCTTGATTTTTGTTTTCTGGTGTATGGGAAGGGACCTACGCAGCTCAGTCTAACAGACAGCTGAGGGGGGTGGGTGGTGGATGACTTGTGTCCTTTGTATGTGACAGTCAGGACCCAAGGCCTGAGTGAGAGAAGTACCTACCACAGAGAGGGGCAGACGCTTGCCTGTCAACAATGCTGAGTCGTGTCCTTCACATATGCTGCCCATTCCATACCTCACCGTTCTTGAAGGTCTGTCTTCATTGTCCAGTTGACTAGACTCGGAAGCACCTAGGAGCCACAGCTCTGGGCTCATCTTGGGAGTCAGGGAGATGTTTCCATAGAGGTTTAACTGAGGAAGACAGACTCAGACTGAATGAGGGTGGCAACATTCCATGAACTGGAATCCCAGACTAATATGAAAAAGAGAAAAAAGAAGCCCTGGGGAGATCGTTCAGGTGGCACAGTGTTTATCTTGCCAGTATGAGGGCCTCAGTTCGATGCCCAGAACCGCCCCCCAACCCCCAGCACAAATCTAGCTGTGGTGACAAAGCTCCCAATTCCAGCACGGAGGAGCTAGAGACAGG